TTGCATGTGTCGAGCATGTGAGAGCTCTAGCCAATGGAACAAAAGGGATAACTGAACTGAAAAGTTCCCTGCCAGTTTAGCGGAGAAGTTCCTAATGGACGGGGAGATGGGGAACGGCAGATCCCAAAAAGTCGCTCCTTCCTGCAAGCCACTTCCAGCCTGCTGCTCACTATCAGTTGACCACTGCACTGGCACTGGCAGTGGCACTTTTCAGGCACCCATGCATGCCATTTCCGACCACTTCCCACAATGAGCAATCACTTTTCTCTTCCCCACGAATGTTTCAGCTCCAAGGTTAAAAAACGACAAACAAGAATCTGATATCGGTCTCCCCGTCTGGTCAGAGCAGCAATGCGGCGTGTAAAATATACTCTCCGGCCCCATCCCATCTTTTGCCCTTTTTTTTTTTCTCCCTTCGTTTGTCCTCAGATTGCTTCAGGTTGTTTCCTTGTGACCTGCCAGGTGAGAGGACATGTGAGGTGGGGGAGACTTGCCAAATGTCTGGACGCGGCACAGCATTACCGCGCTGTGGTACCCCTCCATTCTACCAAGCCAACCCAACTCGTCTGTACTACCATGCACTCCCATGGGCACACAACGCAAAACCTGGACCGCAGGTGGAGATCGAAATGCGGAAAACCTCTTTGATCGAGCAACGATGGACCTGGGGTTCATTGTTTCCGCAGCTGCACGGCAATTGCAAAATATCTTTTGGCCCCCCCATTCAACAGACAGCTACTCCGTACTCCGAGCTTCGTCCGCCCTCCACCAAACAATCCCCAGAGGTTCAAGGTTCAAGGTCAAACATGTTTGACGGGATGCTGTATGGCGTGAGCCTTGGTGGGGAGAACGGCAGAGGCATCTGGATCGATCTTCCAATCCAAACTCCCTGATGCCAAGTCGTCCAAACCGACTCTGACGCACATGGTGGCCCCCCACAATCCTGCATCGCCGTCTCGAACAGCACCAACTCGAAGCCGATTCCCCGACAGTAGCCAGAGGCCCAGGAGGTGGTTCCCTGGTCCCTGCAAGTACCTACCCAATGTCACAACCCAGCAGTTGAAGGGAAACACCTAGCCCTGACATGGCTTCTTTCTACTGCGCGGTAGGTATTGTAAAGCTATTGTCAGCATCCATTCGTGGGTGTTTCCGCCATCTTGGGTACTGCCGGACCGTGGCTAGGCAAACTATTCAGGGTCAAAAGGTACCTGCCCCCCCCCCCCCCCGGTCTGGGTCAAGCCACCATCCTCCCCTCAGGATGCTTCCAGGATGATATATATCAGACGCTCCGCCGTCCTCGTGTTCACGACGGATCGAGATTGTTACAACACGAATGCTCGTGCACAGGCTCTTCTCTAACTTGGTTTTGAAAAACTTTCCACATGCCATCTCGACTATCGCTCATCACAATCCATCCAAACATGGCATCACGTATTGCTCCGATCTCCGAATCGGCAGCCCTCCCCGAAGCTCGGAGCCATTCCCCTTGGCGGCGATCAGCATGCGATCGTTGTCGAAGTCAGAAACTGCGTTGCACCCGCAAGAAAGAAGACGACACAACTACCCCTTGCACGCGATGCCTTCGCATACGGTTTCCATGCTTCACCAGCCCGGCAAAGCCGCCGGGTCGCCTAGCACACAGAAGGCCCACGACAAGCGAGCCTTCATTGTGCACTGATCCCTCACGGCACCCCGCAGTTGCTGGAATCCCCGGACACGGCATGCCAGTAACGCTGTCCTCTACCGACTCCATCTACGGCTCATGGCCCTACTACCAACCTGATGGTCGCTCAACAGCAACCGAGGACGGCATCTTGACGCTCTCTTGGCCGACGGAGCATCATAGCATCAACCCATACACCTTCGCCGTCGACAATAGCGCATTGATGTTTGATGCTGCGCATTCATTCCCAACTCACGTCAACCCTCTGATCGACCCCGCAGTATCAGCTATGCCAGTTGCTCCCGTTCCTGGGTACAGGGCACCACCCCCTGGCATAGAAATGCTCCAATTCGACAGCAAGCACTTCGCGAGCAACAAGCCACATCATCACCCGTACACTCATGATCAGCCTCACACACTGAATCAAAACTGCGTCCTGGATCCCGGGGTTCTGCTTTCTGGTCTGCAGCAAAGTCTCTCGAAACAACTGTACACTATCAGGGCATCACCCCAGGGCTTTAGTGTTCTCAACAGTACAGCCCCGCAGTTGACCGAGGACAAATACGGGTTTAATCCATTGAGCCTGGTCCTCGGCAGCACGGCGGAGCTTCTCAGCATCGCCCACGTTTTCGTCGCGCCAGATGATGTTGCGGGAAGTCCCCCGCCAGCAACAAACCTCAGTGACTGCGATCCGACTTCGCATACCACCGACGATGGAAGCATCCAGGGATCGCAGTGGCCTTCTCCTGCATCCAACACAATTCCATACCAACCGACGCAGATGCCGACACAATATTCGAGCGCCTCATCAGCAGCTAGTTCTCCTGCTTCCACGGCGGTTGATCCCGCACTGCTCCCTTCACAGCCAGCTTCGCTCAGTCAACCGATCCTGAGCAGCACGTACCTGTTGACGCTGGTGTCCTGTTACGTGCAGCTTCTCTCAATCTACGACGCCATTTTTGCCCGCATCCTCATCGAAGTCAATACCTCTTCACTTCAACAACAGATCGACTACTCGAACCCGGCATACAATCACGCCGCTCAGTTCAACTCGGAGTACGCCGTCAACTATCAACGAGCTAGATCTATTGCACAGATGGTTGATCAAAGGTTGGACGGTGTGGAACAAGCCCTGGGACTACCAAGAGAATATTCTGTTTCCTCGACCGCTTCTGGTGGCTTGCGAAGTGAACAGGGACTATTGGCCGGCGCGGAGGCCAGAGCTGTTTTGGCAATTCTTCTTGGCTCACCGGGAGTCTCGTCAGGATCGAGGGCGGGGTTGGCTCGACCCGGCGGCTCAGCTGGGGGTCTAATGTTTGAGGATGCTACCAGTGAGATGTTTATGGAACGGCATGGGGGATTCAACGGGGTGGCAGCTTCTGGGCAGGGGCCATCAGGGCACAGAGGGCTGGGTGGCGATGTGGTGCTTAGTCTGAGGGGACGGATACAGGAGCTGCTCGCTGGCGGTCAGAGAGGCTAAGAAATGTCTTGTTCACAAACGATTTGTATTTATTGTTTCAACTATCTCAACATTGTGTTAGGCGGGACGAAGTTTTTGGATACCCGACGGAGTTTTGGATTGGGAGGTTTATGCTGCTTTTCATCAGATGTAGAGAGGGAAAATGCCTAAAGGATACGATACCCAGATATGAGTATTTGTGATTTTGTCTGTTTCTTTGGAGCCTGCCTTGGGACGTCCTTCCGGCTATTAGCCTTGATAAAATACCACATTTCCAACGAGACTATTCAGCAAACCATGTCATTGGCTTTTCACCAAGGGCTTTTCCAAGAAGACATATCAGGCAAGGCGGCTCCTTTTGCCCAAAGAAGTCATACTCAGCAAACATCCGCGGACTTTAATCATCCCAATCCAGCCCGGCGGTTAGTCACGCCGCTGTCGAGGGAATGCGTGGGAGGTAATTGCCATCCAACACGAGGAGAAGGAACGGCAGAGTTACATCGTCTGTTTCTATCCATAATGACGGTCAGGCAGTCACCGCTCGCCGCTCACAATCACTGCCGAGTCGGGTCGGCAGGCTGAGAGAACCAACAAACAAATAAACAACCAACAACAACAACAACCTTAAACCCAATACTTACCTACCTACCCCACTACCCTTGACCGGTTCCCTCCCAAGCGCCTCCACCCTGCATAAAAGCTTCATTCCACTAAACGCGTTCGCACACCCAGCCTGTCGGGGAAGGTAGGCAGGTTCCGTCAACGCCCGCAGGCGAGGTAGGTAAGGTAGATTTAATTATTCCCGGCAGCTCGCATAGGCTAGTAATGCATGTTGGCTGTTTTGCCCTCCGACTCCTCGCCCACCCACACCATCTATGCGGCTCGTTGGTTTTGGCATGTGAGGGAATGGGGTGTGTATGCCAAGACCGAATGGTGAGGAAACAGGGAATTCCTCATAAACAGGGAGGAAGGCAGGCAGGTGAAGCCTGAATCTGGGGGAGGCGCACCGCCCTGGCTGAGGTGGAGAAGATTCCAGAGGAGATGAGACTGGTAGGCTGGCTATACCAAGTCAAACAAGGTCAAATGGGGAAAAAGTGGCGCGACAGACATGGACTTGGTCTATTCTATCACGGCGTCCCCTGATACTGACACGCGGACGCGCCGGGCGGCCCCTGATTTTCATCACGAACTACTAATTACCGGGTACGGGAAGGATTTCTTCTGTTTCGAAACATGCATCGCGGGAATCTACCTAGTGTATTTTGCCATGCCTCGCCATGGCGTGGCATGCGGCAAGGTCGGTAGCTGCCAGCGGCGGGCTTGAAAAAGGAAGGAAGAAAATGGCGTTTTCTTGGTGTTGTTTTTCTTCGGTTGCAGGTTTCCCTTTCGGACGGAAGCGAGGAAACGGTATTTTTCCCGCCTTCGGACCCGAATTGTCGGGCTCGGACGGGACGGGTGAGTTGGCTTATATAAGTTATTTGTTGGGGGACTTGGCGCCGAGATATTGTTCGGTCTTCTTTTCTTGACTTTTTTTTCTTTCTTTTTTTTTTTCTTTCCGGTGATGTAACAAGTTTCCCAGGATGTTGGCATCATGGTTTACAAGTCCAAAGGTTGTTTGCGTGGCGAGAAATATCCGGCGGGATCTATGGTTTGACAGACGGATGCATGCTGGCAGGCACTGCTGGCCCCTTCCATCCAGACGGCAACAGTTTGTGAACCAGCCGGCAAACACCCTCAACTCGGCAAATCGAAACTTACCACAGTGTGTTCTCGACAAGGTGGGTACTTTATCTGGACTGAGAAATCTTGTGTTAAAGTTTATGCCCACTCGACAATATGACGCACACTTCCAGGCATCCACCTCAACACACACCAAAGTCCCATATAGTGTAGTGGTTTAGCATACCAGATTTTCAGGATTCATCAAACTCCAGTCTTCTGGCGACCCGGGTTCGAACCCCGGTATGGGAACTTATTTTTGCTTCTTTCTCGCCTCTGAATACACGTCGTTCACGCATGGAAAATGTTTGGAATTCTGCCATGTTTGCAAAACAAGAACTCAAACACGTAGAATGCGGGATGATTTTGGCGTTGCAGAACGATCAATTGATCGCTCGCCTCTTCCCCTCACGATCCACTGTCGCCCACATCATCGACTTCTCCTGCACGTGAGGGAGTTTCTAGGCTGGCAGCGGTATGGATCCTCCTGGAACCTTATTTTTGGATAATCGCGTTTCTTCATCAAGTACCAACATGTTTCTATCCTTGGCTGCGTCAAGTGCCAGTAAATCACATCAAGACCAGTAACAGACGTTCAGGCGCCATCAACCGGACCTGTAAAGTGTGAAATCATTGGTCCTTATGGTACATCCCCGTCTATCAGCTAAGCAAGGCGATAGTTTGGCGATCTAGACTCACATGAAGGTCGAAGGAAGATGTGGCAGGTGGTGGAGATGAAACCTACCCCTGAAATATATCATCTCGTCTTTCATTGGTCTATCTTTAGCTACTTGATTATCAAAGCTTCCGAAGATATCCAGGCCTTGGGTGCCGTCGGAAGATTCTGTCAGCCAAGCGAATGCGTACCCCTCAGTCGCGCGTGAGTGTCTCTCGCCGGGAATAAATACACTCTGCATTTCAAATACCATCATGATTGCTGGCTCAATTATACCGACTAGAAAAAGGCAAGGTCCACTGAGTAAAAAGAATGTAAGCTGAGGTGAGTTGATTTTTGTTTGTCAACATGAAATTATGATTAAGGTTAAGGTATAGTGCAATTAGAGGAACATAATAATCCCGCATTTCAAATCATTCACGGTATCCAAATATCCAATCATGTTTGCTTAGCATTGAAATAAGACCACTAAAGGAATACTAGTAATATCCACCCGAATGATAGCTCTCAGCTGACCCTCCTCTGAGCTGTTCACATCGTCCCAGAAAAGTGCTGACCACCCGCTGCCGTCTTACTCCACCTCTACACATCATACCCGCTCGGTCCTGAAGCTCCTTCTTCAACTTCCTCCACCGGCCCGTAGCGTTCCATAATCAGTTGCGTCTTCAACGAGTCCCTCGGGACCAACCACCCCTTCTCCTTCAGAAACTCTCCCAAAGCAGTATGCTTCTCCTTGGCTTCAATAGCACTATCACTCTTGAACGACACCTCGGCAACATTCTCCAGTTCTTCCGTCTTACCGTCTTTTTTAATCGGCCAAACCTCAACATCAACATCAACCCCACTCCACTTCCCTTCGTACCTCTTCGCATACACAGGTCCAAACACCACCCCATCCTTCAACAGGCCGGTCCCCCAGGCCTCAAACTGCCAATTGCTAAACTTGTCAGGCACCTCACCGATCAGCAACTTTCTAGCCTCTTCCTCATCGGGCAAGTCCATCGCCTTCTTATCCACGCTGTCCTTCTTGACTTTTTTCTTACGACTGATAGACAGAGTCTGCTTCACGAATCCCCACTCGACCTGCGCGTCGTACTTACTGTCGGAAGCATCGAACCCGTCTCCCAAAGCGATGAGAAGAGTCTCGGCGATGTCATCCGTGGAAGGATTCCCGTCGTCGCCGATGGGATACCGCTTCTTGTAGGTGAGCTCCCAGCCTGCTTCCCCTTCGACCTTGCGGATGCGCGGAGACCACCCTGCGTTGTAGAGTTCCTTGGCGGGTGTGTCGAGGAACTGAACGTTCATTTTGATGGTTTTGCCCGCGAGGGAGAAGGCGGATTGGAGGGAGTCGGTTGGTTTATTGGTTGAAGGCGAGAGGACTTGGGAGGAGTCGAGGAGAAATTTGACCTCGAAGTCTGGGGTCATCTGTGATGATGCTGTGGAAGGTTATCAGCACACGAATTCCAGAACAGCGCGGCAGGATGCGGCATACTGGTAGCCATGATTGTTGGTTTGAAAGAGCTTGTTGTAACTTGAAGATAAAAACCGGTGTGGTGCTTGAAGCAGGGAAAGAGTCTGCAACCCCTCTTCTGCCTACACCCCAAGGCGGGCCGACGGGTCATCAACACTTTTATGCCAGTCTTCAGATCCGAGTGACATTATTGTTATCGGCAATTGCGCCAAACTCGGGACTTTCATTTTGATCCACAATCAAGTGATAGTGGCTGGCTGGACATGCAACCACTTCTTTCAGATCTTTGACAGTTGACTGGCCAGTTTGGTGTCTCAGCCCCCGACAGATCACATCGCCCGTCGGAATATTGCCAATCAAGTGCTTTCTTTCGTGTCGCCACACTCAGCCCTATCTATGTCAAAGATCGAATTTGGATATTGAGCCCGTGACTATTACATCACGAAAACGGTTAGAAATGCTACAGCAATTGAACGGCAGGTGGATCATCATGGATCACGGATCATGTGCTACCGGGACAAAAATATGTGCTGCACGAAAGTACGGCATACATAGACCTTTCAATAGACAGACGAATGCAAAAATCACGTTTTGTGCACAACATTGACAGTTTTGTGCATAGTTACTTCAACTTCAAACATCAAGTGCAGGTGCCGAACCAATCGACGTCTGATGGGTCATCAAGTATTGACAAACACGCTGTTGATTCACAGGAAATGTGTTAGTCTTTGGAAAGCTCCTCTGAATTCAGCATCCTTGCAGCGTTCGACTTGTGAACCAGTTTCGGAACCCATTCGCAACAATTGGCTCAATGGTCTAGTGGTATGATTCGTGCTTCGGGTATTCCCAGCACCTGGTAACAGGTGTCAGTAATGTGCGAGGTCTCGGGTTCGATCCCCGATTGAGCCCATTGAATGTAAATCCTTTTTTTGTCTTTTTTTTTTGTTTCACGATTCATTTGCACGACCGATAAATAGGTATTTGCTTGTGAATCACGGACTCAACAAATTTACGTCGCAATTGCGTCACTGGAATAGTGTGGATCCTGTAAAACGGTGGGACTTTTCCATTGCTTTTTTTCTTCCTTTTTTTTTTTTTTGACCAACCCAGTCGACAACCCAAAAATGGATTGTTCGTGAAAGCTTCTTGGTGCCAGTCTTTTTTTTTCCTTTTTTTTTTTTCCTTTTCTTTCATCTTTGCAATATCGTTGAATTACAGATTACGCATACGCTATATGAATACAAACAATGAAATACAATCTTGCTGTTTCATGAACAGTATCGCCACCCAGACTGACCACCTTTCTCAATCACCCAGTACCGTGAACAAAACAACCCCTTTCCGTCACATGTAATCCCATTGTTTCACCCATTCGTACCCGTGTAACAAAGCAAGCAAGCAAACAAAAATAAATTCACCAAGTAGTCCGTTTTTGTCTCATAGAAAATGAATGTTGTATTGGTCTCGCGCTATATCAAAATGTCAGTCTCTCAATCTCATTTCTTTCACCACCACCACCAACAACCAACCCGCCACCGAGAGGGAGAAAAGAGAGAGAAAAAAAAAAAAGAAAAAACTTACTTCTTCTTGGGAGTCTCGCTCAGCATATCATCAAAAGTGGTAGCCGTCCTCCTCCGCGACAAAAGAACCGGCTGATTAGGGTCGTACGAAAGAGCTTGTCCTCCGTCCTCAACAAAGGGCGGTGATGATGCTGGCCCAGAAGGAGAAGACGAAGACCCACCACCAATGCGCTTTCTGACCATGCGGGCAAACTTCCCAACCTTCTTGGCCAAACTTCCAGCGCCTCCTCCTGATGAAGCCTGAGACGGCTTCTCACACAAGGCACCACCATCAGACGAAGACCGATGATTGTCATCGTCATCATCATCATCATCATCATCAACAACGGTCCGAGATTCATTGTCCCATGATTGACTCTGCCAGCGAGAAGCAAAGGCATCATCAAAAGTGGCTGCACGAGAAGGTTGAAGACGAAAAGGCGTAGCGATGTGCTTGTTACCAGAGCTGTCGCGGATCTCAACGGGCCTTTCCGACGATTGAGATGGCGAATCACCAGAAGAAGAGATGGGGATCAACTCTCCATACTTCTGTCCGGGGTGGGTCTGATAGTGCGTTCCATCGATCTTGGACCGATAAAAGTAGATTCTGGAGTCGGCGTCGTATCCCTCAACCTCGATGCCCTCTGGGAGCCGGTCCGAGTCGTCGCCGTCAACTTGCCACTTGCGAGCCATGGCTCAATTTGGTGGTTGATGTTTTGGTGAGTAAAGTGTGGATTGGCCGCAATGATATTCCAAGCGTTTGATGATATCTTGATATGATTGATTGCGATGATGGTGATCTGACGATGATTTAGAAAAGCGGGGTTGAGAAAGAAAGTGGGAAGGGTTGCCAGTTAAATATTCCACGATGTGCACCTGACAGCCCTAGGCAGACACACCAGGTGGTTGTGAAACAGACGATATGTTCAAAATACAAGGACAATAAAAACGAACTTGTTGGAGATGTGAATTGAAAAAGAGCTTCGAACAGTAGACAACAGGTGAATGTTAATTATTCAGAGAACACAGCAAATGTTGCCACCGGTATAATGCTTGTGTGCAGGTTGCAGATTGGGCGGGCCGTGAACAACAGCTGCCGACTGGGCATTTCGAGCGTTGTGATGTTCATGTCGTGTGCCTCGTGTCACCATGGGCCGACGGCTGAGCCATGCAGTTGGGTTCAACAGGCGTCACAAGGGTGCGTGGCTAAGTGCATTAAACATTGCATTGGGCTGTTTCGAGACAATGCAACTTGCATCCCAAGCTTTTGGACATTTTTGCCATGAATATTGCAAAGTCCATTGAAATGCTTCCGTTACTATCGCCGAGAAAGGTATCCAAAAATCCCCTTTCCGTAATTGGTTACCCCCTTTGGTGCCATCTGTCAAGGAGTCACCACTGCCACGTACGTCGGCGTTCTTGGTGTTGTGTCAACCTGTGTGTCGTCGGTCAGCCGTTATTTGTCTTGCCTGAGCCATTTCCAGGCGAGCGGTTTGTTCGGCTGATGCACGCCCTCGGACTTTTGAGGAAAACAGAATGCAGACATCAAGACCGAAACGGACATGCCTAGCGCCAAATCCGTCTTGTGACGTCAGACCAAAACGACAAATGCCAAGGGCTTTTTGCCCGACAAAAAGACTGATGTGCTGGTATGATATCCCCCTTTCGTCATTTGTGGAACTTGAGGTGCTCCACAACATCTAGATGAGTGTAATGTTTCATACCCCTGTTTTCTTATGCGTTTCTCGTACCTGAATTCAGGAACAGAATCTGGAATGTGTCCAAAATCCCAGATGTGCCTTGTCGGATAAATCAGCCGTGGACGCTTGAGAAGGGTCAGATGAGCAAGGTTGAGTCACAAGGGATAACCAATAATGAGTATAAATGCAACCGGTAAGTTAGGTATATATGCAAGATGGTGCAAGATAAGTATGTACAAGAAGTTATGCTCTCTCTTCAGGCAACTCATAGTGAGGTCCCGAGTTAACCATTTACTGGCACTGAGAGTAGTAAGGAGGAGAGACAGCAACGCAGGTGCTCCCGCTTGCACACGTGGTGCAGCCGGTGTATCCATTTCCGCCGCACTGCCCGTACCTGGCGACGCTGCAAGATGGGTTACCACTGCCGCCGCCGGGAGCAGAGGTTGCGGTAGAAACAGGGGGGCTGAGGGTGGTGGTGGGCGAAGATCCAACCTTGCAGGTGTTCTCGCAGCCGGTGCAGGCGCTGCCGGCAGTCTTGGTGGAGCCGCCAGAGTAAACCGCAGGGCCGGGGACGACATAGTTGGACAAAGCTCCGTGAATGTTGACAAGAATGCCGGGGTCGGAGCTTTTGTAGGCACCAGGGAAAGTGACGGTGGCCGGGCTGGCATTTCCGCCCCCGGAGACGGTGATCTGGTAGCAGGTCATGTAAAGCTGGGCACCATTGGCACCGCCAGCAGCGTGCAGGGCGATGGCCTCGGCACGAAGGAGGTAATCACCGGAGGGGATGTCGGATGGGATCTTGACGTTCATCTTGCCGCAGCAGGTGTTGAGATCCTTGGTACCCCAGTAATCGTCATCGCCGGAGCCGCCGGATGGGTTCTTTGCCCAGCCGTCCTGGAAGATCTTGAACCAGCCAGTAGAGCCGTCGGCAGTGCTGGCATCCGAGACCTTGGTCAGGTAAACGGTGACAGGGCCGTGATGGGCGCCGCCGATAGCTTCACTGGCGCATGACCGATCGCCGTTTTGCTGGTGCATCTCAACGGTGACTGTCGAGCCGGCCTTGACAGGGCACTTGACGCCGGGGCGGCTGCCGAAAACGTTGCAACGGACGTCGTTGGAACCGACGTTGGTGACAGGGCTGTTGGAGTTGGGAAGACGAGCGCATTGGGAGCCTAGTGACTTGTGGTTAGAGTCGGGCTCAAAGTTGAACGGCTTGACAGGGAGAGCAAAAACCTACCAAAGTCAACACCATCAACCCAGAGTTGCTGGAAGGTGGCGTGTGCGGCAACGTTTTGAGCCCAGAGGGCAGTCAAGGCGGCAACGGTGAACGACTTCATGGTTGCGGATGTTGAGTTTGACTCTTCAACTCTTCAAAAGCTGTCGGCGGTGTGCTGAAGCAGTTGCAACTCGTGGTAACCCCTTGGGATGGCCATGATGGTCGTTCTTATACACATGTCCATCCTGGATTCCGTCAACTTGTGACGGCGCTAATGGCTCCCCCAAAGATCCTCCAATTTTGAAAGCGTGTTCCCGAAAGTTCTACCTGGCTACCGCTCCATCGGCCGCTCACAACGGTGTCCCGTGAACAAATCTTGGTGTCGTTACTCCACCGCGATGTTACCCAGGGCGAGGTCTGGGGCAGCCTGGGGTGCTTGAGAACTTCCCAAACTGGGGCTGTGGGGGCGGAATGATTGGTGGACTTGGACGCGGTTAATAAAGTTGGGCATTGAATGCGGCAAAACGGAATATGAATGCCGCAATCCACGATTCCAAAAACCGGGTCTGCGGCGGATGACGTCCCGTATCGAGATTTTAGAATCACACACGGTTATTGATCACTGCATAATTGCAAGATCATGCGCCCGGGGGCCCAGCCTTGGCCAAAGAGTTGGGTCAGATTTTGTTGGAACCCGGTTTACGATAGGATCGCTTCAAGTACCGCCGAATCCGGGGAGAAAGGGCTGGAACCCGATCCCGAATGTCGATCTTGAAACCTGTCAGTGGAGAAGAAGGGGAGATAAAAGCCTTGACAAGTTCCAACGACGGGAGATCCTGCCGCCAACCGAGCAGGTTGCGTGGGCCGCGTTTTTTGTTGCGGGGGGAAATGGAAGCAAAAAAAAAATCCTGGAAACTCTGTTGTTGTCCTGGCACTTGCCGTCGTGGTATTCAACGTTTCTTCGCTCTCGCTTGTGAGCTGTTAGTGATGTCACTGCTTCGAGTTGGATGTTCACAGATGTCAAGAACTTTACTTTCAGGTTCAAACAAGAGATTGAGCGCTCCGCGTCTCGAAATTCCAAATTCAGTGGGAAGTGGCAGACCTGGAAGGAAGTGCGGGGGTATCATCAGAGCAGTGGAGTGGGTTTGGACGGGAGTTGGGCATTTGCTACGACGGAAGGTAGGCGCGTGAAGGTTCGAACGCGAGTGCATGTTGGATAGTGCGGGCAGTGAACGGGCATCGAGGGTGGTGTGCCCGTGCCCTGGAATCTTCCTGTCGCCGACCATCCATTCAGTGTGCTCCAAATCCCGCGCTTTCCAAAGCTGCGCCCAACGGCATTGATTAGATTCATCAGTCCGGGCTCACGAATAACGAGTCATGTGTGTACAAAGATGTCATATTCATCAACGCCAAGGTGCCGCATTCCTAAAATGA